AAATTCTAGCCCTGTGCCCAACGGCATGGGGCTGGAATTTCGAGGGCCGCGCTCGTTTTGGACCTTCCGACTCTCTGAAGATATCTTCGCCAAGCACTCCGCCGCATTCCACTTCGATTCATCTTCCATGGGCTGAGAATTCTGATGCTTGCGGAAGCTGGCGGAAGCTTGCAATTAGCATGCCTTATGCGTCGCTATTGCAGCGAGGTTGGCAAAGTTGTTCGTTGGGTTTGCGGCTAAATGCCACAGCGACCTGACGCTCGCATTTGAGGAGCACGGTCTGCTGGCCAAGTTTGCCCTGTTCCTCGTCGCAGAGACGCCATTCAAGTTTTCACCTCTTATGCACCACTAAGCAGGCGAGTCGGTGGATCTGGCGAGCCTGCCGATGAATGCAAAAACTATTCGCAAGTGCCCATCATCGGCACCATAAGCATCACCTCTGCGACCCGTGTAATTTACTTGACTTACTGCACTTCTGTGACTGCGGGCATATATTGCCGTCAAAACAAACGTCGTGGTCATCATCAAATCGCCATGTTCATCGCTACTGCGCCAGAAAAAAGCAAGACGCGCATGCCGTCAAATAGGACCATATTTCTCCCCCACGGGGGGAATGGGGGGATCAGGATCAGGAGGGGGACAAACATCGCAACGGTAAGGATCGAAGAATGGGTGGCGGAGGATGGCGGCATGGGCGGCATGGGGGTTCGAACGTTGAGGATCGAGGATGGGTGGCGGAGCATTTGCATCTTGACGCGTCTCCTTCTGACGGACGCGGCTTACGCCATTCCGCCGGCCTTGAAGACGAGCGAGGACTATCGACGGTCTTGGGAGTTAATTGTTAGCCATGACACCCTTGGGTTATAATAGGGGGTCTCTTGGGGGCCCGGGGGGCGGGCGGCCCCATCTGGGGCTCCACAGAAGGCCCCAATGGCTCCGTTCACATAATGCGTTCGGGGAACCTCCCGCCCCAATCCCCGGCAGCTTCTCTCCGCCAGCTTCAAATCGCGTTTCGGCGTTCGCTCCTCGGCGCAATACTTGAACGCAGTCAATTTGAATTTGAAAAGCAGCGCCCCCACCGATATCTCCAGGTCGCTGAGCACTTAAACGCCATCTTGTTCGTTGGTGGCAACGGCTCGTAGTTCGTCTCGCCGGAGATCGCCCGCGGCACGACCCAGGTGTGGATGGGCAGCTTCTGGGGCGGTCGCAGGCGCGTCAGCGCGCCGATCGAGTTCTCCGCTGGTTCACCCGCATTCATGTTTGTGGCGTGGCTTTGAGAGCAGGACGGGCGCCGTGTTTGGTGGGGGGCGTCTCAGTTGTTGTGACATGATCCATATGAAGTTGAGGAAGACGCCGGCCCAATGGGTTCAGAACAGGACTGGCGCGTGGCAGCGCTATCTCCATGGGACGTCACTCCGCCCCCCGCGCTTGCGCCTCCGCGCGCCATGCGCGAATGTCGAGAGGGCCCTCTGCAGGCAGGAGTCGTTTCATCGCCCGCTGCAGATTGCGCTCTTAAGTTCGATGGCGCTTGTGACCACGTTGTGGGGGCGGGGCTCTGGTCATCAGGCTCGTTGCGGTTTCTCGCGCGAAGATGGCTATGCATTCTAGCGTAACTGCCGCGCTTCGTGATCCGCGTGAACCTCGACCCAGGCGCCGAGCGCGTTGGGCGCTACTGTGCTGGCAGGATCCCGAAGTATGTCAGTGGCGCAACGGGGCCGAACTCTACGCCATGCTGACCGAGTCGTTCAGTGCTTTCTCAGCGCGCGCCGAGCGTTTCAAAACGCAGCTATCTGGGGCGACAGGGTGATTTTACTCTCGGCGACCCCTGTCCGATGTTCGCGGCTTCGGCGGACCCCGCGAATAATGATTGGTTCGTCGCGCAGATCTCGTGGGGCTTCGGGTCGCCCCTTGGCCCGCGGGTCGCCCAGGCGCGCGGCGCGCGCGTGATCGCGCCGCCCCGGGCCGACTTCTGTTCGGCGCCAGCGGCGTCTTGCAGGCGCCAGAGGGCGCGGCCGTTTCGCGGATGTCGACGCGCTGCCCGGTCGTTTCCAAGAGGCGTTTCGCCGACGCCCGCCGCTTGGGCCCCGTCGTGGGCGGTGGCAGGCAGGGGCGCAGGGAAATGGCGTGCGGCGCCGTGGTTGACCCGGGCGACGCTGCGACTTCCTCAGGCTGGGCGGCCCCGAGGCCCATCGGTTGTGATCTCAGAGATCTGCGCGGCAGATATCAGCGATATCTTCGCCCCCCCCCCCGGCGCAGGGCTGCCCCTGCGCCATCCTCGATGCGTTCGCCATTCCTGGAATTTGATCTCAGATCTGATCTGAGGTTTAACATTTAGCTCTCAGATCCGCTTCAGATTTCGGGCCCAGGGCGCCAAGGGATCACTCGTCTCGGCCGCCCCCCCCCCCCCCCAAGGAGGAGGAGGGGGGGGGGGGGGGGGGGGGGGGAGGGAGGAGGATGGGGGGGGGGGGAGAGGAGGAGGGGGGGGGAGGAGGAGGGGGAGGCGGAGGAGGAGGGGGAGGAGGAGGAGGAGGAGGAGGAGGAGGAGGAGGAGGAGGGGGAGGAGGAGGGGTCGGCCGCGACGGGGTCGACTGTGAGGGGGCGTCGGGCAAGATGGATCTCGGGAGACTTTGCCCTTCTGAGGTCACGGGGGATCACTGCGGCGAGGATGGGGGCACCGCTGGCGCGCCGACGGCGGGGGGGCTCGAGAAGCACGCGCGTCGCTGCAGGGGCGCGGCGCTCGTCATCCTGAACATCCAAGAGGACCTCGAAACGGAGGCAGTGGCAGAGCTGAAGCGCATGCAGCTCGGGCAGACGACGAACTGCGCACTGACCTCACACAACAACGCGAGGTTGCAGATGACAGGGGGCGGAATGCAGAACGCGAAGGCTTCGCAGGAGGACCGCGAGAAACTCAACGAGTGCACGTCGTGGAGGCCCGACCACACTTGCTACGCTCAAGGCTCTGACATGATGGTCAGTCGCCAGTTCATGGGGCCCTCGTATGGTCTATGCTGCGTGGGCGCCGACGACGACCTCTTCCGCGCGATCGACAAAGATTTCGGCCTCGCTGACAAGGGGGCGCAGCAACGGGGAACGAAGCGCCTCCTTCATTACAGGGAACGCAGTGCATGGGCCATGGGGCGAGCGGAGGCGCTTCAACTAGCTCACGGACACAAGGATATCAAGAAGTACATCGGCCCACTCGCGTGCCCGACCTGGGTGGGCGCCGCGCCGCGCATCTCGGGGGGGGCCGAACCAGCCGGAGAGGGCTTCAGAGGCAGGCATCGAGGATACGTTGTCCAATGAAATATTCAATCCAGACGATGGGTACTTGGTGGGCTCGGGCTCGAAGGACGTGCCAGCGCGTTGGCTTTCTGATCATTGCTATTCCAGGGCTGGGCAGAGGTATTGGTCGGTGCGCAAGGTGTGTGGGTTCAACTATACCATCGCCAAGAGGATGTTGGAGCTCGACCATAGCGCCGAACCGCGGCGAGGCTGCAAGAGAACAGCCACCAACGAAGGTCACTGCTAAGGAGATCGACCGTTTCAGGATGGAGACAACGTGGACTCCCCAGCTGGCGGCGGTGGTGCACTCAAATGACACGCACAAGTGGCGCGCGAAACTACCGTGGGAAATCCAGCGCCCATGGGGAGATTGGTTCTCCGAGGCGAATGTGTCCCTTCGCAGCGTCAACGAAACGATCGGTTGGGAAATTGATTTCGTCTCAGGCGGCGCGTTCGACGTCGTGGCTAAATCCCTCGAGATACTGGTCGGCAGCGCTAATTTGCTTTGCGACCTCGGCATCGTGGCATGGAATACGGGCATCAATGCCATCGATATTTTGGGGCTGAGGGACTTGGTCATCTTCGCCGGGGTTTATTCGTGCGGTCTCAATCGTCATCGGCGCCAGCGGCGTCTCGGCCCACTGCGGGGATGGCCAGAGCGCGCAGTTGTCACGCTGTCCAAGGACAAGAACATTGCCAAGGCCACTGCCCAGATGTTCAGGTCAGATGGTCACGACTTCAACGCGCTGAAGCACGCGCAGAAGCCAGCCTGGCCCACGAATCCTCGCGACGATTCGCCCTTCAACGCTGTGCCTGTCAGGCAGCATATCGGGTGCTTCATCGACGCTGGCTACGACGTGGACAACGCTCCCTTCAGGAAGTGGCCCCAGAAGAATCGGGCGCGCCCGTTGCTCAGCCAGGCGGCGGCAGCTTTTGCCGTGGAGCGAAGGACGTTGATAAGGCCATGCGCAAGGACCGTTGCCGCAGCGGGGCCTGCGCGACGCTCATCGAGAATAATCTTTCGGACGGAGTACATGGCCGCGCGGTGATCGATTTCTCTCGGGCCCGCGACGCCAGCGGCCCGCGCGCCCCAGCAAAGGCGCGCGACCAGTCGGCATCGGCTTTCGACGAGGGGGGGGATTTCAGGGGATCACGTCGCGAAGCGGAATCCTGGGTGGCCGAAGTTCTCGGCGACCACCGAGAGCAGGCCCGCGGTTCAGATGGACTTGCTCTGCTACGCGAGGGGGGTCGGCGCGACGGTGGACCTCGTCAAGACGACGGTGCACTGCTACTTGGCGAAGGCGGGGCACAGTTGCAGCTGCACTTCTCCATGGGCGATGCGTGCGGCATCTGCGCCTCAGGGGTCCCAATTGTTAACTTCGAGATGCCGTCTACGGGCAGGGGCTACTTCAAGCTTGACTTGGACGGCGGCCCCACTGGCTTCAAGCAGTCGTTCATGACCGACGCGACCGAACGGGGGGCAGCTTTCGTAGAGTGGGGGTCGCCATGAGGGGCCTTCGTCGCAGAGGGGTGCGCGGACTCCATAAGGACGACGCCGAGCTTCGCGCGATTTGCAAGGGCGGGGTCGGGCCTGCGACGGCGGTTGCCGAGTCCAGGGCTTTCTTCGAGTTAGGCGTCGCCGCTGTGATGGAGATCTGGAGGTGCCAGGGCTACGGCGAGATCGACGGCCCCCCCCGCCCCCTGACTTATTCCAGGTGCTCAGGGTGCTCTGCAAGGAGGCCTCGGGCTGCGAGGAGCGCGAGCTGATCGCCGCGCTTCAGCTCAGGAGCTTCGCGAGCGGCACAGGGGACGAAGCGCTTGAGAAGATGGAGGGCGCCGCGAAGAAGATGGATAGCAAGGGGGCCATGAGGGCCCAGAAGAAGGTTCATTGCAGCAGCTACAACAAGCGGATGAATGAGACGAAGGTCAAGAGTACGAGCGGTGCCAGGAAACCCAGGAAGCCATCCGACTACAGAGGCCCAGCGAGGTGCCCTGACCGCGCCATCGAGCAGCCTGGGGCCAAGCTCTACATCCCGCCTTCTACGACGATGTGGCGCGGGAGCTTGGGCTCCG